CCTCCCTGGCACCCTCTGAATTTTCAGACTCTTGGACTTTTTCAGAGCTAGAGTTCCCAGTTCTTCACTCAGCATCTCCATGATCTCTCTGTTTTGTACCCTCAACAACCTACCCTTAATCTTTTCAGTTTCCAGCTCAGTGTCTAATCCCAGAACCTTCAGACATTTTTTGTTTTTAAGAGCATGATCTGGGTTCAAATTCCAGAACTGCCTCTTACCAGCTGTAGGAGTAATTACTCTCTGAGCCTCAGTTTATTCTCTCTCTCTCTCTCTCTCTCTCTCTCTCTCTCTCTCTCTCTCTCTTCCCTCTCCTTTCTTTCTTCCTTTTCTTTTTTGAGATAGGGTCTTGGTACTAGCTGTGTAGTCCAGACTGGTCTCCAACTCACCTGCCTCAGCCTCTGGGAGCATCGGGACCCTACTGGCACGCACCCATGCCTGGTTTAGGGCCTTCGTTTTCTTTTCTGTCAAGTGGGGTAATGTTATCTCCAGCTCTAAATGAGGACTGCCAGGGTTTAACCACGTGGCAGGAGGGCACTGCAGGGCGTCAAGCCGACCAACCCACCACCTCAAAGACAACAACAACCTCGTCAAGAACATTTCCTAAGTGCCCTAGCTTTACACCTAAACGTGTCGCTGGAGTGTCCCAACCTTGCATTTCTATAAAACTGAATCTCGTAGCTTCCCCCATTTGTGCCCCCCCTGGGGCCACCGGCTTGGCTCCCCGAATCTTCACACACCTGAAGTGGGGACTGGTGGTCTCTTCCCACCCTCAGTCCCATAAAACCGCGGCCTAATGCTCAGCCCCATGATAGCCCCCACCGGCCCCGGCTCCTGCCTGCTTGCACCGCCTGCGCCAGGGTGGTGAGCCCGGTCCTGCCAGTGGCACCGAAGATCGCGATCTTCTTGACAGCCATGCTGCGGTGTCCTGAGTTTGCCACGCGCGTCCGAGACCCAGGACTCGCGGGAAACCAATGGCTGCTGGGCGGAGCTCTCCCGCTTCTCTAGAAGGAGGGATGGGGCGGGGCGGCTCGGAAGGTCCCGCCTGCGCCCCGCCCCCAGTGGGCCAAATACTTGGTTGCCGGAAGAAAAGAACTAGAGTAGGTCTCTTGCTGGTGTCGGTTTGCAACCCTTACCGCCTTGCACTACCCTGGCTGACTGATTTGGAGCCACTCCCACGCCTAGGCCAGGCACAAGTGGGCGGGGCCACAAGGACGGTCACTCAGGGCCCCGCCTCCGAGTTCAAGCCACGCCCGGCGGGGCACGGAGCCACGCCCACCGCGCGCTTCGCGCTCTTGCCAGCTCCTTCAGCGCTTTGGGGTCCACCTGGTGCTTGCGCTACAGCCCAGGTGCACCTGGGACAGCAAGGGAACTGTGAAAGAGAACGGGATGGGTTCGTGGGCGTGACACCATGTAACTGCGTGTCTAGGTACCTGTGTGATCCTCGTGAACCTAAATACCCACAAGGGAGCGCGTTGATTGTGCTGACACCTATGCTATCCTTTGTGCTACAGTGACTGTGTGTGACCCCATGTGCGGTCGGCACTGGTGGTGTTCTTTTGTGACCTTGTGGTGACAGTGTGTGTCAGCCCATGTGATGTGGCGTGAGTGTACAACATAAGCTGTAGTGGAGCGTGTGACAGCTAGACTGTGATAATGTGTGGACATGTGTACTGGAGGTGTGTGAGGTCTCAGTTGAGTGTGTGGCTTTGGGTGTTACTGTGATGCTCTTCGTGACTTGCTGTGACTGTGATGGATGAGTGTGTAGTAGTACAAGACATGTCACCTCCACGTGAGTGGACGACTAGTGTGACAAATGACAGCGTGTAAAATGACACTGATTGTGAAGGTGTTAATGATGTGTATGACACTTTGTTCTCTGTGTGACATGCGTGGTTGTATGTAACACCACGTTGTTTGTGGTCCCAATTGAACACGTCATCGTGTGTAGCGCCGTGGACCCTGTTCCAGTGTGGGGCACCGTGTGTGTGATTGCGTGTGACAGCCTGAAATTGAGGTTGACCCTGTGCAACCCTGTAGGAGGGAGTGACACTGCGTGGACGTGGAGAGCACGTTCGTGACGTTGCAAGTGGTCCCGCGTGTGCGGGAGGGGGCACTGTGTGAGTCCGTGGGAGGGTGTGACGGTGCCTCACCCGCGTGGCCCGGCGTGTGACGCGCGGGGACCCGCCCTCGGACGTTGGGGGCGGCGGGCTGCGGGCGGGAGGGGGTCCCGGGGGCGCGCCGAGCGCGGC